GTGAGTGCCACAAAGTGCCCCAAGGGGTAGCAAGGTGTTCTGTTGATTGGTTAATATGGGAAGGGGTGGTGGGTGTGGAAGGGGGGGTTTAATGGTTTGTATTCAAGGCTGCCTAGGTATTGGCTGGGGACCAAAGGTGATTTGAAATATTTGCAAATATATATTAGTAACTACAGGGTTTGTGTGTATTATTATTATATTATTATTATTATTATTATTATTATTATTATTATTATTATTATTATTATTATTTTTCTTGTGACAAAAAGTTTAATTCTAGCAAGAATAAATATAATAATGATAATAATAATAATAACGATAATAATTAATAATAATTAATAATGATAAAATAATAATAATATATAATAATACTAAAAATAATAATAATAATAATAATAATATAATAATAATAATAATAATAATAATAATAATAATAATAATAATAATAATAATAATTCATCGACATTACTCTTTGTTATTATTATTATTATGATTACGACTAAAAATTTTATTCTAACAACAACAACAACAACAACAATAACAATAATAATAATAATAATAATAATAATAATAATAATAATAATAATAATAATATCAACCCTTAAAATAAAGCACAAAAATTCCCAACATTACTTGACAGATTAAGGATTTTTTTTTTAATTCTGAGAGTTGTGTCTGGAATGAACCCTCACCGGCCCGGGGGGATTTAGTGACAGCGGGATTTTCAATCTTGGAATCCAGTCTCCCTGCCGTAGCAGTTCCTCATCAAATATATATATACATTTTTTTTTCACTTCCCTCGTGACCGAAGATGTAATTGAGTTTTAATTAATTTAGATTCGATGAAATTCATGCCGATCTGACCCCTTTTTTTTTTTTAATACGGACCCCGGAGATATAAATTTTTTGCTTTAAAATTCCCTCAGAGACTTTTATGTATTAATTTGTTCCTCAGATCATTGCAACACAATAAAAAAAAAGGTATTAATTATAATGGGAATGACAATGATGTTAATAATTTTTTCAACACACTCTTGGTGAAATAGGAGGAATTTAAACCTCTTCCTCTTCCTCCTCCTCCTTTTCCTCCTCTTCCTCTTCCTCCTCTTCTTCTTCCTCTTCCTGCTCCGCCTCCTCCTCCTCGCAATAATAATAATAATAACAACAATAACAATGATAATAACATTAATAACAATAACAATAATAACAACAATACTAATAATGATAACATTAACAACAGCATCAACAACAACAACAACAACAACAACAACAACGAAAACAGCAATAATAATAACAGCAACAACAGTAATAACATCAACAACAATAACATCAATAATAGCAATAATAACATCAAAAACGGCAATAAAATAACAACAACAACAAAACACAACAACACAACAACAACAACAACAACAACAACAACAACAACAACAACACTAATAATAACTCTCACCAGACGCACTACGCCCACACGCATTCATACAACACATCTTCAAAATTTTCTCCTTTTTCGTTGTGGTAATTGCATGCAGGAAAGGTGGTGAGAAGCTCGTTGCTGCAGGCATATTAGTCTCCCTCAAGAACACGCACAGCTGAGGTACCCCCAGGAACACGCACAGCTAATGGGTCTTCAGGAACACGCACAGTTAAAGGGCCTTCAGGAGCACGCACAGCTAGGGGTCTTCAGGAACACGTACAGCTAAGGGATCTTCATGAACACTCGCAGCTGAGGGACTTTCAGGAACACGCATAGTTAAGGGGCCATCGGGAACGCGCACAACTAAGGGGCCTTCAAGAACACGCGAAGCCAAAGAGCCTTCAAGATATGCATAGGTAAGGAGCCTTCAAGAACACCCACAGTTAGGGATCCTTCAAGAACACGCACAGTTAAGGAGCCTTCAAGAACACCCACAGCTAAGGAACCCTCGGGAACTTGTACAGCTAAGGGGCCTTCAAGAACACCCACAACTAAGGAGCCTTCAAGAGCACGCACAGCTAAGGAGCCCTCGGGAACTTGTACAGCTAAATGGCCCTTCAAGAACACCCACAGCTAAGAGGTCATGAAGATCCCACACGGTTAAGGACTTTCATGAGGAAAAGGTAGCGGGGGAAGGGGAAAGATAAGGAGTAAGAGGGGGATAGGTAGAAGTAAGGGGAAAAGAAAAAAGAAGAAAATGGGGAATAGGGAGGGGGAAGAGGTAAAGGGGGACTGAGTAAAGGGAAAGAGGGAAGGGCCAAGAACCCGCTGGTTGCTTGCTTCACAAACTCCGGGCCACAGTTCCGAAGTTGCGACGCGTTATTTTAAGCCTTGGTAAACAATGGTCAGGGAGCGAGGTCTGGGACTACCTTTTGTTAGAGAATACCTGTCAGGAAGAACGTAAGGAAGGAAGGAAAGAAGAGAGGGAGGAAGAAAGAGAGGCGGGAGAAGAACAGGAAAAGAGTGTGAGTAACACATGAGCAGGAGGAAAGAAAGAAGGGATAACTGGAAGGTATAGGAGGAAAGGATACTAAAGGGAATTGAAATAAATCGGAAAGGAGGGTGTAATGGAGTGATGGCGGGAGGAAGGCAGAGAGGAAGGATTGAGGATAGATGGAGGGAGGAAGGATGGAAGAAGGATGGAGGAAAGGAGGAAGGATGGAGGAAGGATGGAGAAATAGAGGAAGGGTAGGAGTACCAAACGATATAATTTTTTTTCTCTTTATAAAATAAAAAAGTGTTTTAGCTCAATTCTGCAGCAACACTCTGTCTTTTCTACCTTAACCTGTCTTGTGTCTTTCTGTCTGTCTCTTTCACACACACACACACACACACACACACACACACACACACACACCACAAATTAAAACAATTCTGCTGGCGTGGCATATAGTGAGTTTCTCACACCCTAAGACACAGTTAGATTCTCCACCTGCCCTTAATTGTTTCCAGGAGCGGTAGTTAGTGTCAGGCCTGCCACAACACACACACACACACACACACAGTGAAGAGGCGGGGCCAGGAGCTCGGACTCGACCCCTGCAACCTCAATTAGGTGAGTACAACTAGGTGAGTACACATACACACACACACACACACACACACACACACACACACACACACACACATCACACACACACACACACACACACACACACACACACACACACACTACATACACACACACACAAAATACTGAGAGAAATTGACAAGGTGGACAAAGACAGGATGTTCCAGAGATGGGACACAGCAACAAGGGGACACAGTTGGAAGTTGAAGACACAGATGAATCTCAGGGATGTTAGGAAGTATTTCTTCAGTCACAGAGCAGTCAGGAAGTGGAATAGTTTTGGAAGCGATGTAGTGGAGGCAGGATCTATACATAGCTTTAAGCAGGGTATGATAAAGTTCACGGTTCAGGGAGAGTGATCCAGTAGCGACCAGTGAAGAGGCGGGGCCAGGAGCTAATACTCGACCCTTGCAACCTCAACTAGGTGCGTACAACTAGGTGAGCACACATACACACACACATACACACACACACATACACATACACACACACACACACACACACACACACACACACACACACACACACACACACACACACACACACACACACATACACACATACACAACAGAGCGATGGTGGACACACTGGCTGAGGTGGCACGAAGAGTTCAATCGTGCAGAGCAAAGTTACTGGTTATGGGTGATTTCAACCATAGGGAGATTGACTGGGAAAACCTGGAGCCTCACGGGGATCCTGACACATGGAGAGCCAAGATGATGGATGTGGTACTGGAAAATTTCATGCACCAACACGTCAGGGACTACCAGAGAGATAGGGGTGGATGAAGCAGCAAGACTGGACCTTGTGTTCACCCTGAGCAGTTCAGACATTGAGGACATCACATATGATGGAGCTAGCGATCACGTGGTACTGAGTTCTGATTACATAGTAGAGCTGCAAGTGGAGAGGGTAGCAGGAGTCGAGTGGGAAAAGCCAAACTATAAAAGGGAGGATTACACAGGTATGAGGAACTTCCTGCGGGTGGTTCAGTGGGACAGAGAACTGGTAGGAAAGCCAGTAAACGAAATGATCGAATATGTAACAACAAAATGCAAGGAGGCAGAAGAAAGGTTTGTTCGCAAGTGCAACAAAATTAATGGGAAGACGAAATTGAGTCCTTGGTTTACCCGAAGGTGTAGGGAGGCAAAAACTAAGTGTATTAGAGAATGGAAGAGGTACAGAAGGCAAAAGACACAGGAAAATAAGGAGATCAGTCGAAGAGCCAGAAACGAGTATACACAGATAAGGAGGGAAGCTCAGAGACAGTATGAAAACGACACAGCATCAAAAGTCAAGTCTGACCCGACACTGCTGTATAGCCACATTAGGAGAAAGACAACAATCAAAGCCCAGGTGATCAGGCTGAGGAAAGAAGGTGGGGAACTCACACGGAACGATCAAGAGGTATGTGAGGAGCTCAACAAGAGGTTTAAGGAAGTATTCACAGTGGAGACAGGAAGGACTCTGGGAAGACAGGACAGAAGGGGACACCAACAGGGAATACACCAACAAGTGTTGAATGACATACACACAACTGAGGAGGAGGTGAAGAAGCTGCTAAGTGACCTTGATGCCTCAAAGGCAATGGGACCGGACAACATCGCCAGGTGGGTCCTTAGAGAGGGAGCAGAAATGCTGTGTGTCCCATTAACCACAATCTTCAACACATCCCTTGAAACTGGGCAACTACCTAAGGTATGGAAGGCTTCAAATGTAGTTCCCATTTTTAAAAAAGGAGACAGAAAAGAGGCGGTAAACTACAGACCAGTGTCACTGACGTGTATAGTATGCAAAGCCATGAGAAGATTATCAGGAGAAGAGTGGTGGAGCACCTGGAACGGAACAAAAGTATAAATGACAACCAGCACGGTTTCATGGAAGGCAAATCCTGTGTCACAAACCTTTTGGAGCTTTATGATAAAGTAACAGAAGTAAGAGATGAGAGAGAGG